GATAAAGAGCGTATTTTCTGCTATGCTCCACTGTTGTGCTGTTGAGCAGTGGAGCATGTCTACCTATTTGATATAGGTTTCTACCGTTACTACTTTCCCATTGCTTCCCGAGATCCCAGTTTTTTATTGTTAAATGTTTGAAACAACTTTGCGTCAATCTACGGTTTTAGCCATTTTCTGTTTGCCATAGTGAATGAATAACTTGTTTTTGTTATAAGCTTAGTGAGCATCTGACATATTTATCATTGCCTTCGCTTCATTCCAATATTTTGGTTGTATCGAGGCACGATGGTAATTCTCAATTGTCTGCTTTGTTACCCTTACTTTTACGCTAATTTGATGAGGTTTTCAACCGGAAGCTCAGTTCGACGAACTAGCAGTTTCAGAAGGAAATAAATTACCTTATTATATAAATATGTGCATTTCCGGTAGAATTTGTGTATCCCTTTTTGTCTGCTTCTATTAGAATCTATTACTCAGCTATCTCTTGAATCACAATACTTTTTTGGGGCGGATATCAATAACTCTGAATCAGTCGCTAAAGATGGTATTTTGAGTAATGCTTCCGCTCGAATTTCGAAAGAACATGTCTGTCTCTTATTTAAGCTGCAAAAGCTTTTCTGTTATGAAGCTAATGTCGGCTAGACACCAAGGTTGTTTCGTTTTCGTCAATATGGTTCTCTGAATCTTCTATGAGTTTATGTTCAACATGCTTGCGCATATGTTACCTAGTGACTTGGTTGCTATGCGCTTGCAGCAGTCACTTTCAATGCGTTAAAGTAATCGGTAACGATGTCCAGTATCTGATTTGCGATGCAAAGCTTTAATACTGACATAATTTCGACTACATTTGGAAGTAATGCATGCAATGTACCGCAGCTTTTTGGCACTTTTAGCGCAGGTACGTTCGTTCTTATGGCTTCCTTATAGAATCTCATCTATTCCATGTGGTTATTCTTTAAACATTATCTTTTGTATTGATTTCATTCTGTTTTGAACTACATCTTTTGAAGCGAACTCTGACCTTGCTCTTATTATGGGCGATTACCGAGTATTAGTCACCCTAAATCATGGTTTTTAGCATGACTCACGTTGCACGCTGTCTGGCCAATAACTCTTTCGATTGCTATATAAATACTGTAATTCGTTGCATGTATGTCACGTAATGTCGAAAAGAGTAGCTCTTGTTGAGGAGGGGTGGTTATGGAAACACATTCTCGACCAACTTCCTCCCTATTTCCTGGCAGTGAACCAGAGTGCATTTCGTAATCTCTAACTATTGTTATGTTTGCTGCATGCTGTCGCATCTCAACAATACTGCGAAATCTATGTCACTCGCTTTCATGCCCTTTAATTAATCGCATACGACGCTGCAAATCGGTGTGTTTATTAGATTGTTTAATGCAAAATTGTTTTTTTTTTCTTGAAGTTACCCATCCATATTTTTCGTAGTGCCTTTCAATACAGCGAAGGGAAAAGTAGTCATGTTCGGGAAGAAAGTTTAGAAGACATTTAAATTTATTTGCTGTAACTGAGTAGGATTCAAGTGAAAATGCTTTATACTTCCCAATCATTTATGTGGATGTATAGACTTTGATTTCTGCTTTAAAGTCTTGAGAATCTTTTTGTAATCTCAAGTGCTGTCTAGGAATCTACTATCACTGTGAAGAACTCTACCGCGAATTCTGTCTCAAAAAGAATGGCATCTGAAAAAAACGGACAGGAAGCGATGGACACCGATACCACAGGGCTAGATACAAATTTGTATTCGCGACAAATGTATGATGTTTTGTATCTTCAATCAGGTCTCCTTCAACTCTCGAATTTTTCAGCTATGCCCTCGGTGAATCTGCGATGATGAATTTGAGAAGAGCATCCATTTTGATATCCGGATTAGGAGGAGTTGGTGTTGAGATCGCAAAGAATTTGATTCTTGGAGGTATGGTT